CAGGAGGCGAGGGGGGGGGGGGCAGGGATGATCAAGGAGAGAGAAAAACAGGGACAATACTTTCAACAATAAAGATAAATTAAAAACAACATCAACATATGAACAACAAATACATATCTATCAACAAGTGAACCTAAAAATCAAGTGAATTAAAAATCTGAGGAACAGAATAAACTGGTGAATACAATAGAGTCAGGAGCATAGAAAGAGAGTGGACTGATAATTCTCAGGGGGGGGGGGAAGGGGTGTGGGGGGTATGGGAAGAGATTAGACAAAAATCTATGGATGTGGACAGTGCCGGGGAGGTAAGGGCAGAGGGTGGAGTGGGAACCGGATGGAGGGGAGCTATGGGGGAGGAGGGGGAGGAGAAACAATTGTAATGATCTGAACAATAAAAATTTATTAAATAATAATAAAAAATAAAAATAAAAATCCAGACAGGGAGGAAAGCACGGACTGGTCTGTGCCCATAATGACAGCACCACATTTCACAGCCAAAGGAACTGAGGCACAGCAAGGAGAGTAACTTGGGGGTCCCACAGCACATTACTCAGTGGGCACCCCTCCAGGCCCCACGAGACCACCTGATGTTCCCGCGTGTCTGTGCCTCTATCACTTCAACCCTTTCCGGAGTGAGTGAGGGTCAGGATGGGGTCCGGTTGGGTCCCGCTCCTCCTCAGGTGGGTAAGGGAGGTGAAACTGAGTTGGGGAGAAGCTGCCTCCCAACCTCTGACCACCTCCCTGAGACAAAGAAGAGGGGCCCTGACTGCGTGGAGGGCAGGTAGAGGAAGCAAACGTTTTAGCTCCCCAACAGGGTGGGGTCTGGGGAGTGGACCCCCTCCCGGCAGAGCCGGTGCAGGGAGAGGGGTGTTGGAAGAATGTGAGATGGAGGAGGTGGGGGGTGCGGAGAGCCTGGGGATGGGAAGGGGGCTGGACCGAGGAGCCCCGCGTCCCCTCCAGCTCAGCCGTCCGAACCCCACCCACCCCCGCCTCCGGGACCACAGGGATCGGCTTCTCCCCGGAGTCGGAGGACGCCGGCCTGTGCAGGTCGCTCGGTCCGGGCGCCGGCCCCGCGGCGGGGTCCCCGCGCCCCACCCGGCGGCGGAGGCGGTAGGACCCAGGGGCCGGGAGGCGCCGCGGAGGGAGGGGCGGGGGCTGGGCGGTCTGGGGGAGGTCTCTGGCTTTTTTTGGCGGAGTCCCGGGTGCCCTCCGGAAGCTTTTCCAACTTTCCAGAAGTTTCTCGGGACAGGGCGGGAGGAGGGGACAGCCTATATAGAGCCGGGGGTAGGTGGAGCATCGGAGATTGGAGTCTGTCCGTCTGCAGCGCCAGAGCTCCGTCCCTGCCAGCGCGGCCGCCCAGGTGAGGCGGGGGCTGCCGGGCTGGGGGTGCGGGGTGGGGTGAGCGGGGCGGCCGGCCCCCGGGAGGGGTTGGAGGCCAGCTCAGAGCCTGCAAACCGGAGTCTCTGCACTTTGGGGGCAGCTGGAGGGTTGGGATTGCGAACCCCGGGGCTAGGTGGCCCTGGCGGGGCAGCCTGAGGGCAGATATCAGAAAAGGTGCAGGTTGGGGGATCCAGAAAAAGTGCAGGCTCCCCCCAAAGTGTGGAGCAGGGGTGTGAAGACCGGGAGGAAACGGTGGGGCCGGGGCTGGGATGCTGAGACTGGACCCTCTGTAGGGAGCAGGCAGGAGGAGATGGGTCCTGGGGCGCCTTCCAGGGACAGGGGGACCCGGCCAGCCCTGCAGTGGAGTCACCCTGGCCCTGCCACCCTGTTCCTGGAGTAACTGCAGGGTTCAGGCTGCTTCTTCCGCGGCCGGCGCCCCTGCCCCCACCTTGGGGCATTCCTGAGGCTGCTGGGGTGGGGGAAGAATGGGACCGCGTCCAGCCGGGCCCCAAGGCCTGGCCCCTCCTCTTCCCTGGCTTCCGCCTGGTCCCTCCGGGCTGCAGGGCCCGGATGGAGGCCCGGGGAAATTAGGGGGCTTGGGTTCCCTGGAAGTCTGGATGGGACCACACCCTTCCGCCCATCCCCCCTGCCCATCCCTCCTTCCCCAGGCCTCCTGCTCTCCTCCTTTTGTCTCTGTGCACAGGGATTCCCGGCAGAGGTTTTTTTTTTTTTTTTTTTTTTTACTGGCTGTGTAACGGGACACCACATCCAGCCCTCAGCCCTCCGAAGGGGCTCTGTGGGTGCTTCTGGGGTTCGCCGGGAGCCTTGTGCTAGAGGCCTGACCCCTCAGTTTCTCCCGCGGTCCAATGAGTGGGTGATCTCCAGGTCCCCATAGATCTGGGACTGGTTAGGCCTTCTTCCCTGCTACAGAGGGCAGGGCAGGCTGAAGTTGGGGTCCTTTTGGGGGGCTGAGCCTTCCAAGCTCTTCCTGACCACCCCCCCCCGCTCCCCCCCATCTCTGCCGGATCCCATCCTCCTCACGCCTCTTGTTTTCTTTCAGAATGAAAAAGGCAGGCAGTGACCTCCCCCAGAGGCAGTTTCAAGGTACTTTAGACGTCCCTCCAGCGTTTGAGACCCTCTCTCTCTGGTGGCCTTGCTGGCAGCTGCTTCCCTTCCCTCTTTTGTGCAAAAACCCGGAATACAGTCTCCACTCAGCCCTGCTTGCTGTGGCGTCAGAGGGTGTATTTTTCTTTGTGGGCCTCCCGGTGGCCTAAGGGCTGGAATTTCTCTGTGGAAACATGGGCCGGGCTGTGGGAGGCTGGCATGCTTGCAGGAACTTGCCTTCCTCCGGTTCCTGCTCCTGGGTTAACAGGCGGTCCTTCTCGGCTGCTACGGGTCTCCCTGCAGAGGCCCGTGTGCGCCCTGGAAGCCAGGCAGGGAGGCCCCATGGCTCCCCGTGGGACCCGAGCGTCGGCCTGCCTCCCGGGTAGGGAGCCCCCCTCTAGCGGTTGGAGATAATTCTGTTTCCAGGCTGCCACGTCGCTGCTGCCGCCACAGCAGGAGAAGCAGGAGCGCAGCTGTGTGGCTGCCGGAGGAATCCCAAACTAGTGATTTGGTGCTTTCTGGAAAAGCCCCTCCCAGCCCTCCGAGGCTGGCTCCCTGGCTGGGAGCGGGGGCTGTGGAGACGGTGACTGCTGCCACGTGGCAGGGCTGCCTGCTGGTCTTGACTGTCTCCCAAGAAGATGCTGGTGGCCTCCAGGGGCCTGAGCTCTGTCATCAGCGGTCTGGATGAGAGGGGGCCTTGGAAGAGGGTGCCCCTGTGCCCTTGTCCTGGCGTAATACTTGGTAGTGCCTCAGTCTACTCTTTTGAGTGGCCCTGTTTGGAGGCTCCAGGCCTGGTGAGGGAAGGAGGTGGCCAGGCCCTGAGATATGACCTCCCCAAGCTGTACTTCAGGATGAGCCCTCTCTTACCTCCAAAACCTGTACTCTAGGGAACAGATCTCTCTTGTACCTTTCCCCAGGCATTGTGGGTCTCCAGGCCTTCCCCTCCCTCCCCATGGATCCTTTGCTTCTCCTCTGCCCTGCACTCTTAAGGATGGAGCAGCCCAGGGCTGGGGGCGGGCTGCTTGGGTTCACTGGTGGGCATTAGAGTCTTCCCACAAACCCAGGGCTCCCACAGGTGGGTCCATGACCTGAGGCTCTTCCCCCAGGATCTGACTTTTTGCTCCGCCTGGAGGAGGACCATGAGATGGCATCGGACAAAGCAGTGGGATCCAGGGTCCCTTCCTACCCTCCTCTTGGCCCTGTCACTCTTCTGTCCTATGTAGAGAAACTGTTCTGATGGGAGACCCCAGAGAGTGGAGTGAAGTTTACCTTAGGGGACCTAAGGGCATCCATCCCTGCACCCGCAAAGCAGATGGCTGTCCCCAGCTTCCTGAGATGGACAGACAAAGGCCCCCAAATCTGGCCAGTCTGTGGGGGAGGGGGGAAGAGGGGGTGTCACTGCTGCATTGAACTGTAGCTTACCCCCTCCCCCAGTATCCTTCCTCTCAGGAAACCTATTCTCCCACCCCACCTAGCTCTTGTCCTGGGGATTTCCCGTCACTCCAGAGGCCGTGGACAAATGGGCAGGCATGTCCCTGCTAAGACGGAGGCCGTGGGCGTGAAGACGGAGATCCTTACAGCTTGGGAAGTAGAGACTGGGGCTCAGAGAGGGGTGGCACACAGCTGTGTGTACACATACACGCTCTGAAAGTCACCCTGGGGGCGGCTGGGCGGAGCCTCTGGGCTCTCCCATTTAATAAGTGAGCCAGCCAATGACTCATTAACATCCAGGATGGAATGAAAGGCCTGGGGAGGGACGGGCCTGTGATTCTGTCCTTTGTGGCTTCATGCAGACCCTTAGCCCACCTTCCACTTTTCCCACTGGAAAAGGACCTCATGTTTGTATGAAGATGAGAACTAACCTGTATACAAACTGGCCAAGTGGTCCTGGTTTCTGTTCTTTCAGCAACAACTGGGGCTTTTGTGTGCTAGGCACTGGGGATCCCGAGGGAAGCCAGACTGGCTAGGGTTCCTCTCCTCCTGGAGGTCACAGACTAGTTAGGGATGGAGATAATACCCAAGAATCACATGGGCCTAAGTCAGTGGTCGGCAAACTGTGGCTCTCGAGCCGCATGCAGCTCGCGAGCCGCGGTTTGCCGCTCTGTTGACTAATGAGTTTGCTGACCACTGGGATAGGGGCTTAATCACAGGGAACAACAACCGCTTATAATTATTGGAATCGAGGGTCTAGGCCCGTGGTCGGCAAACTCATTAGTCAACAGAGCAGCACACCGCTGCTGAGGGTTGTTAAGTTCGGTGCAAGAAATCACTAGGGTGGATGTGATGACTTCCCAGGAACCCTGCTTTGGATGAGACACCAAGCCAGGCCTCTGTGAGGAGGGCAGTCGAAGGCCCCCCAGTCTGGCAAATCCTGAGTTAGGTCTGGACTCCAGGGAGCTTGGTGGCCGCCAGAGGCCGGGGACGGTTGTGGGGAGGGCTGCCCGGGGCTTCAAGGCCACTCTCTCTGCAGCCCTCACAGGTCCTCCTTGGCGGCGCACACCACCAGCCTCGCAGCCATGCGCTCCCTCCTGCTCACCAGCGCCTTCTGCCTCCTGGCCGCGGCCGCGGCCCTGGCCGCCGAGGTGAAGAAGCCCGCGGCCGCCGCGGCCCCCGGCACCGCCGAGAAGCTGAGTCCCAAGGCGACCACGCTGGCCGAGCGCAGCGCCGGCCTGGCCTTCAGCCTCTACCACGCCATGGCCAAGGACCAGGCGGTGGAGAACATCCTGCTGTCGCCCGTGGTGGTGGCCTCCTCGCTGGGGCTCGTGTCCCTGGGCGGCAAGGCGGCCACGGCGTCGCAGGCCAAGGCGGTGCTGAGCGCCGAGCAGCTGCGGGACGAGGAGATGCACGCGGGGCTGGGCGAGCTGCTGCGCTCGCTCAGCAACAGCACGGCCCGCAACGTGACCTGGAAGCTGGGCAGCCGCCTGTACGGGCCCAGCTCCGTGAGCTTCGCCGACGACTTCGTGCGCAGCAGCAAGCTGCACTACAACTGCGAGCACTCCAAGATCAACTTCCGCGACAAGCGCAGCGCCCTGCAGTCCATCAACGAGTGGGCCGCCCAGACCACCGACGGCAAGCTGCCCGAGGTCACCAAGGAGGTGGAGCGCACGGACGGCGCGCTGCTGGTCAACGCCATGTTCTTCAAGCGTGAGTCCGCGGGGCGGGGCGCGGCCTCCTGTCCCCAGAGCCCCTAGCAAGTTCATCCGTATTCCTGTGCCTGGCACCCCCCTGCTGGTCAGTAAAAATCTTTTTTTTTTAAAGTATATTTTATTGATTTTGTACAGAGAGGAAGGAAGAGAGATAGAGAGTTAAAAACACCGATGAGAGAGAGTCATCGATCAGCTGCCTCTTGCACACCCCCTGCTGGGGATATGCCCGCAACCAAGGTACATGCCCTTGACCGGAATCGAACCCGGGACCTTTTAGTCTCCAAGCCGACGCTCTATCCATTGAGCCAAACCGGTCCTGGCAAGTAAAAATCTTCATAGCAACCACAGAGGCAGGCCCGGTGATCAAACCTTTCACACGCTAGACAGTAGGTCCAGAGAGGCGTACGCTGTGTCTAAAGGAATGAATGGGACAGGGGCAAGCCCAGCCGAGGGACTCCGGAGGAGGCACGCCCGCGGTGTGGCAGTCACAGCAAAGTGCTGCTGTGCTTATTTTGGAATCAGAACAGCTCAGTCATCCCTTGTGTGTCAGGAATGAGCTGGAGGGAGGCGCCACACCTGTGATCACGCCTAATCCTCAGAACAGTCCTCTGGGGGCAGGCGGTGTTCCCTCCACGGCGCAGGGGAGGGAACCGAGGCTCCGCGAGGACGGAGGCCCCGGTGTGTCTGTGTGGAGGTGGAGATTTGATTTGGGGTTCATGCTCATTTCTGAGTACCTAATGTGGACACCGTTGTTCCTCTCTTGGTGTGCTGCTGTGAGGATGAGGTACTCGCCTTTTTCCAAACAAGGGGCCCAGCGTAGGAGGGGTGAAAGGTCTCATCGCCAGTCAGCGGCGGGGTCTGGATTTGAACACAGGCCAGGTTATGAGGCAGGGCAGGCTCAGGCCACTGTCACACGTGCATGGTTTTGTGGGTCATGTGTCCGGCCGCGTAGATAGGACTTGCAGACAAGGCTGAAGAGTAGTCTTGGGACACTCCCTGCCCAGGGCACCCTCCCCGCCTCCCTGCAGTTACTAGTTGGGGAGAGAAGTCCAGCTCAGCACGTATTGCCCAAATGTCTGATAGGGGCACCGGGGCAGAGGGCACACCTGGCCGTGGCTGAGCGCAGTGTCCTTCCGAAGGGAGTCCCTGCCCTGTGGAAACAGCCGGGCCCTGACTGAAGAGGCCAATGCGGGACACCTGTCCTGGGGCCGGGACCCCCCCTTCCCCCCCAAAGCAGGACACTGCTCTGTGGGCCCGGTGCTGGAGGGCGGGGAGGGGGAGGTGGGCTGCAGCCGAGACCCGGAGATTGGAGCGAAGGCCTGTGGTGGAGATACATCCGGGGTGTGTGGTGGGAGAGGGCTGTGCCCTGAGGGAGGTGACATCTCATTCTGACCTTGTATCCCGCTCCCTCCTACAGCACACTGGGACGAGAGGTTCCACCACAAGATGGTGGATAACCGAGGCTTCATGGTGACCCGTTCCTACACCGTGGGCGTCACGATGATGCACCGGACAGGTAGGTGCCTCGCAGAGCAAGGGGGCCAAGGCGGGGAGCCCAGGGTTCTCGGGGCCTGGCCCCACAGTGTGCTCAGCGTCCCCGCTGCCCTTTCCCCAGGCCTCTACAACTACTATGACGACGAGAAGGAGAAGCTGCAAATGGTGGAGATGCCCCTGGCCCACAAGCTCTCCAGCCTCATCATCCTCATGCCCCACCACGTGGAGCCCCTGGAGCGCCTGGAACAGATGCTGACCAAAGAGCAGCTGAAGACCTGGATGGGGAAGATGCAGAAGAGGGCTGTTGCCATCTCCCTGCCCAAGGGGGTGGTGGAAGTGACCCATGACCTTCAGGTAAGGGGTGGCCCCACTCAGGGTCCCTGGGCTGATAGGAGGGGGGGTACTTGGGGCATCCATCACCAGCTCAGCACGTCTGTCCTGAGCCTCTCGGGGTGTCTAGGCAGTATTGAGCTCTGTTTTCGGGGTAACTGGTGGAAGAGGCACAGGCCCTGCTCTTGGAAGGTAACGTCAGTTGATGACGGTAACATCAGTTCCTAAATATAATTGAGCATTTGCTGTGTGCCACACACTCATCTAAGCACTTTACATATTAAACTCTGGGTCCTCGAAACAACCTTATTAGGTCGGACTATCAACCTTATTTTACAGATGAGGAAACTGAGGCTCAGAATGATTGCATAATTTAAAGTCACACAACCAATATCTCAGACGTTTGGCACTAAGCCATGCCCTTGATCCTGTGCTGCCTCTGAGAGTCTCAATGCCCCGGTTGTAGACTGTTCAAGCTGGAGGCTCGTCCCCTGTGCAGTGATAAGACTAGTCATGGCTTTCAGCTGGATACGTAACTCATCTGCTCAACATGATTTCCCCCTCATGGCCAGTGGCTTGAGAGTAAGGTCACTCTGGCTAATAAGTGGTGGAGCTGCCATTAGTCCTGCAGGTAAAAGCTTAGCATGGCCTTTCTTTTTCTTTTTCTTTTTTTTAAATATATTTTATTGATTTTTTTTTACACAGAGGAAGGGAGAGGGATAGAGTTAGAAACATTGAAGAGAGAAACATCGATCAACTGCCTCCTGCACGCCCCCTACTGGGGATGTGCCCTTAACCAAGGTACATGCCCTTGACAGGAATCGAACCTGGGACTTCTCAGTCCACAGGCCGATGTTCTATCCACTGAGCCAAACCGGTTAGGGCTAGAGTGGCCTTTTTGTCAGTAAGGAGAGAGGTGTGTTTTTTTACCTACTCCAAAGGGAAAACTTTCAGCTCATTCTTGCCTTGGATGCCAAACATGGTTTCTTGGCAGGCCTTTTACCCAGAGAGTTGATTCAGTCTTGCTGCTGAGAGAGCATGGAGAGAGAAAGCTTGGGGTGAAATGGGACTGAGGTTCCAAACCAGAACCTAGTGGTCTGTCCAGCAGAAAGCACTGAGAGTTCTGGTGAGGAGCTGTCCCTGTCTCCCTCCTGTCCCGTCCCTGCTTTTCACCAGCCCCTCTGCAGTGGCTGTTCCCTGACGTTGTTCTCCCCTTTTTTCTGCTGTCTCTTCCTGGGACCCACCAGTCCATGGGGTAGATCCAGTTGGGAAATTTGAAGTGAGTCACTTGCTAAGGTCATCAGGACTGAAATAGCGGGGCCTAGAATGCCTGTCTCAGGACCAAGTTGTCCGTGCTGGGGAGGGAGACAGTCCTGCCAAAGCCTGGGCCCTGGAGGCTGCTGTTCACTCAGCCCACAGTCCTTTCCTGCTGCCTCGTCTGCTCCGAGAACCAGGGAGGTGGGCCCTGCCTTGGGGGAGGTCTGAGCCAGGAAGGAGACAGAGGGAGGGCAGGGGGACTGAGGCCAGGAAGCCATGGCTCCAGTCCTGTGGGAGAGGGAAGTTTCCCAGATGATGTGGTATCTAAAGAGCCCTCCAGGGAGAGAGGGTGGCATCCAGGATGCTGGTTGCTCAGTAGGGCTGTGGGATGGAGAGCAGGGTGGGGTGTGCTTATGGGCAGAGCCGATGGTGTAAGAGCTTGCACTTGGCTTCCCAGGACTGAGCAGAGCCATGGACAGGGTGTATGCGTGTAAATGTGTAGAAATATTTTTTCTATGGAAATGTATAGAAATATTTTTAAAGCAGATTAGTGCAATGAACCCCTAGCTTCAACCGTCATCCACTCATGACCAATAAGGATTCATCTATACATACCCATTCCTCCCCATCACATTATTTTGAAGCAAATCCCAGGCATCATTTCACTCGGAAAGGGTCTTAAACCAGCGTGACGTGGTCATAGCTGTCCTTAGATTAGCTTTTCCTGAACTTGAGTGTGCTGAGAATTACCCTGAAGAGTTTGTTTAGGAAGGTCCTGGCTCCGCCTCCAGAGACTCGAACTCCGGGGCCCTGGGCTGGGGCCAGGGCGTGTGCATGTCATATGAGCTCTCCAGTGGTGTTGATGCTGGCTCTTCAAACACCCACACTTGGAGAAGAGCTGCTCAAGATTGCTCAGAAGGACCAGGGATGCATCCTGCCTCCCCCCCTCTGCTCCCCCCCCCCCACCACCCAGAGTTTCAGTTTCCTCATCCGCGAAGTGGAGATTATAAGCTCTTACAGGCTTGCCATGAGAGTTCAAGTACCCACGCCATGTCTGGCACACAGGTGGCTATGGAGGGCGGGAGATGGTGGGTGGTGTGGGTGGAGGGTGAAGGCCTGGAGGTGACCTCACGGTGGCCTCACCTGGCCCCCACCCACCTGGCTCCACAGAAGCACCTGGCCGGCCTGGGCCTGACGGAGGCCATCGACAAGAACAAGGCAGATCTGTCACGCATGTCGGGCAAGAAGGACCTGTACCTGGCCAGCGTGTTCCACGCCACCGCCTTCGAGTGGGGCACAGAGGGCAACCCCTTCGACCAGGACATGTACGGGCGCGAGGAGCTGCGCAGCCCCAAGCTCTTCTATGCCGACCACCCCTTCATCTTCCTGGTGCGAGACTCCCAGACCGGCTCCCTGCTGTTCATTGGGCGCCTGGTGCGGCCCAAGGGGGACAAGATGCGAGACGAGTTGTAGGGCTCCAGGGTGCGGGCACGGGATGGCAGGAGGCAGCTGGAGGCTCCTGAGACACATGGGTGCTATGGGGTGGGGAGAGCTGAGGTACTGACCTTGGATATTCCATGGGGAGGGAGGGGGGTGGGGGCGGGGAACAGCAGGCTTCCTGTGGGGCAGAGCGGACCTTCCCGGCCGCCATTCACTCTGCTCGGACATAGGCTCCCGGATAATCACGATGCAGAGCCCAGCCCCACCTCCTGCGCGACCTCAGAGCCCTCGATCAGTGTTCATATTTATAGCCAGTGCTTCCTCATCTGTGAGGCGGAGGAGCTAGGCCTTCGGCTGAGCTCTCCTGGAATGGGGACCCTCCTTTCCTAATCCTACCACCACCTCAGCTCCCTCCCCAGCTCCATCCCCAATCTCCTCCCGTCTCCCCTCAACAATAAAAACTAGGTGCTGCAGCCCCCGGATGGTCACCCCCACAGGAGCCCTGGGCCCGGTGAGGGGATCGGGAAATGGCTCCTGGTGCAGGGGCTCCTGGGCAGACTCTGGTCAGGTATTCTGGGGATGAACTTTTCCCCCCTTTAATAGATTTTCAAAGACGGGGAGGGAAGGGAGAAAATGAGCCTTTTGTTGCTATCAAACCAAGAACGTATTTGTACAATTTTTTTTTCAATAAAACTTTCCAATAAAATTGTGTTGGCGCATGAAGATGGTTGGACCAAAGATGCCCGTGTCATTCTTCCCCGGGGACAAGAGCTTCTGTTCAGCCAGGTTTGCTACTAACAGCCCATGCCAGGCTGTGAAATGCTGGCAGCTAACCTCGGATGACCCGGGGCGGGAGGCCGATGACACTGCGGCAGGCCTGCTGCCTGCTGACTCTGGAGATTGCTTCTCAGCTGGAGGGAGTGGGGTGGGGTGGGAGGGGATGGTAGGAGGGGGAGGTTCCCTGGAGAGGTGGCTGCAGGGCAGGCATGATGGCGCTGCATCTGGAGCCCAGGGCATCCCCGTCCTGTTGTAGGAGCGCCAGGCTTTGGCCCCTACCCTCTCACTTCAAGCTGACCTCCCTCGTTCGCACCCTGGGCCAGTGGGTACAAGCTCAGGCTGCCTGATGGGGCAGGGCTTTGGAAGGAAGGAGCCTGTGGGATCCTTGCTCTGTGCGTTTGTAGCAGAAGAGGGACCTGCCATTGTCCTCACTTTGGTTCCTTCTCATGGTCCTCCGGACTCCTGACACCACAGCTCAGGGAGGGAGACGATGATGTACAGGTGGGATGTACAGGATAGAGGCCCATGGCGGAGGAGGCAGGGGGGCAGAGGAAACTGGATTTGAGCCCACCCCTACCTCTTGCTGGCTCTGTGACCTTGACAGGTCACTCACTTTGGGCACATCTCTGTCTTCTCTCTCTCAACAACTGCCCTGGGGGTTGGTCTAGGGCGGATCCTGTCTACTGGGCAGTCCCTTTGGAGTCCTCTAAGATCTGAATGTGGTGCAGAAAGGCCAGCTGACTTACTCCCGTTACTACAACAATGTAACTTAACAGCTGTTCGGAGCTCCAGATCTGCCCTATGCTGTGGACCCAGTAAATTAGATCTCTGCCCGCAAGGGGAGACACCTAGAGGCAGAGACTTAAATCACAAGAGTGCTTGGTACCCACTATGTCCCAGCCCCTGGATCAGTCTGCTTCCAGACATGCCACATGTATTCCCCGGCCTCAGGACCTTCCCACTAGCTGTTCTCCATGGCAAGTGGTTCTTCTAGGTCTTTGCAGGGCTGCTTTTATTGGTTTCAGAGAGGAAGGGAGAGGGAGAGAGAGAGAGAGAGAGAAACATCAATGGTGAGAGAGAATCATTAACTGGCTGCCTCCTGCATGCTCCCTTCTGGGGATTGAGTCTGAAACCTGGGCATGTGCCCTAACTGGGAATCAAACCACGACCTCCTGCTTCATAGGTCGACGCTCAACCACTGAGCTACACTGGCCAGGCTTAGGCCTGCTTTTTCCAGAACTCAGCCTGAACGCCATGTGCTCAATGAGGCCTTCCCTGACCACACAATATAAACAGCTCCTCCCCCACCTTAGTTTCTCTGCTGTTTTCTCATTCTACTGACTTCTTAATGCTATGACGTTATGCACCTATTTACACATTCACTTTCCACTACTGTGAGGATAGGGTTCATCTCTTCTCCATCACTACGTTCTACCCCTAGAGTGAGCATGCACTGCACATAAGACACCCAACACTTATTTGCTGAGTAAATGAAAAGGCTGAGGCAGAAGGTCCCAGGGCCTTGGGAATCCAGAGGTGGAAGCCATGACTGCCATGAGGAGAACACGGGAGGTCCCCAGGGGGAAGTGGCATGTAGGCTGTCCTGAAGGAGGAGGAGGTATTTCTCAATCGGAATAATGATTTTAGTAATAGCAGCTGGTACTACCTTCCTGTTCTGCTTCTATGTGCCAAGCACTGTGTGGTTTCTAGACATGCTTATAACCCTAGCCTCCCAGCAGCTTGGCGACAAAGAGATCATCCCCATTTTACAGGTGAGGTAACTGAGGCTGAGAGGTTTGATGGCCTGCCTGAGGGCCTGGGAATTGCTCCCAGTCAGTTGGTTAATTGTTCTTCCACACCACACAGGAGAGGAACTGGCCAGAGGCCAGTAATAAAGGTGCTTAACCTGCTTACACTCTATTTGTCATCCCACTTTCTCCCCACGATAGCTCAGGTCCGTGGGAAGTCCTCCTACCCGGACAGGTGCGGCTCAGAGATGGGCCCCAAAGTTCAGCCTGCGACAGCTCCCTGACCAGGTGTCAGTGGGCGGTGAGGAGCCAGGCCTGGATGTGGGGGCCGCCCAGATGGCATAAAGGGGGGCCGGGACCACCTGGGGCACAGGAAAGTGTGGAGAGAGGTCTGTCTGTGCTCCCACTGCGCAGAGGTGGGTGGAGTTGCTGGTGGGGAGGGTGGCACAGGGCAGGGGTGGAGGTCGGTAAGCCAAGGTCTGGCTGGTGGTCGGCCAGCAGCTGTAGGTCAGATCAGCTTTGCCAACTCTGGGGAGCTGTTGAGGGAGAGAATCTGTGAGGGGTACAGTCGCGGCTGTAGGTCAGATCAGCTTTGCCAACTCTGGGGAGCTGTTCAGGGGGAGAATCTGTGAGGGGTACAGTCGCGGCCTTTCCCAGGACCAGCCATCAGGCCTTTCCGCGAGGCTTCAGCCCAGCTCCTGGGGGCGGGGAAGGGGGTCTCCAAGGCCAGCCAGAGCTGGAGGGCAGAGGGCAGCAACCTGGTCCGGTCCAAGTCCGCCGGCCGCAAGACTTCGGTTGCTCACTCCAGCATATGCATCCCACAGCCCAATCCCTGCCCCCAGCCTGGCGGGGCCAGGCTGCACCAGAAGAGAACCCCGGAGCCCAGGCCTGCAGCTGGGGACCAGGCAGAGGGTGAGCCTGTGGGCGTGGCGGTGTGCGAACGCCGTGGGCTGAGCCATGGGTGGCGGGAGGATCCCATCTGTAGAACCCAGAACCAGGCTAGGGGGCTCTTGTGTAGAATGTGGGCATCTTCAGATCCCCGTCTCAGATCGGGGCTCAGACGCTTAACCACTCAGATTAGGCCCTGGACCAGGAGCAGGAACAACTCCCCTTTCAGAGATTCTCCTTCCTCCCCCCTCCCTCCTTCCCCCCATTCCCTGCTCCCTACTCCCATCCCGTCCTGTCCCCTCTCAACCTCCTCTCCCCTCCCCCAGGCGGTGACATAGGTGCAGGCTGAGTCCTCCCAGGGGAGGGACAGGAAGGAGGAGGGCTGGGGAGGATGGATGCTAGGAGGGGCTGGGAGATGGCTGCAGCAGGGAAGAACCAGGCCTGAAGGCAGTCAGTCTGCTTCTGGGCAGGGTGAGGAGGATCTCACCGCTTTCCCCGCCCCAGCCCAGGACCAAAGCTTGGCCATCGCCTCCCTCACTGGGCCGTCTTTCTAGGCAGTAGGAAGCTGGCTGAGATGCTGATGTAGTGGCTGCCTGCACGATGCAGGATCTCCTCTAATTGATGTAGGATCTCCTCTGATTGTCAGCACCAGGACCCTTTGACAAATAAACTCAGAGGTGACTTGCTGGGCTGGAACCCAGGTCAGCCCTCTCCCAAGTGGAAGCTGCCATGTTTGACAGCCACGCGGTCCTCATCTGCACCCTCAGCAGGTGTCAGAGCGTCACTCTCCTTATGGAATCCCTGCTGGCCCCACAGGCCCCCTGGCTTCTCCTGATAGTTTAGGGTCAGCCCTTCTCAGTCCCTTTGTGCCCTCTTTTCCTACCTCTGACCAGTCTCCAAGCTTTGAGCTGGGCCCACTTGTCTTTCCATTCAGACACTGTCCCTGGGGGAGCTCATTGTGTGCCCTCCCCAACATGAGGCTTGAGTGAGGAGCCCCCCAACCCTCCTGAGCCCCCCACCTCCCATGAACACAAAGGCAGCTCTCTTCAGAGCTGGAAACCTAGCAGGTGATGGCCTGGATCTCTGCCCCAGGATGTTACACATCTCAGAGATGGCACCATCACCTGCCTGGCCCGTGGGAACATGCATGTAATGGGACCAGGTGTGTGGGTCAGAGGGAGAACTGAAAGGAGGGAGGTGTCCATACAGGAGACTTCTTTTGCCTCCCTGTGGCCCTTTCTTGTCTGCAGGGCCCTATTGCAATGCACAAGGCAGCAAGCTGTGTGTTAGGCCAGGAAGAATCGTGTGTGTGTGTGTGTGTGTGTGTGTGTGTGTGTGTGTGTGTGTGTTATGGAGGTTGCTTCTGAGGCAGAAATTCCTCGTTCTGTTGGGAGAGGGGTGGGGAGATAGGCCTGGGGTCCGTTGCTCAGAGAAATTTGGACGTCACCAACGCTTCCTGTAGTAATTCTCTATACAAATCCAGCTGAGCTCCTTCAGAGCCCTGTAACAAAGACCTTTAAAAGGGGTTAGTATCCATAAGGGGCATAAAAATCTTCAAGGGGGATGAGTGTTCCTTGGGAGCCAGCTCTGGTGAGGGCAATGGTGGAGCTCCCCCTACACCCCCAGGTCCCTGAGGGTTTGGGGTCTTAAAGGAGAAGCTGTCATGGCCGAGACCCTGGGATCCTCATAGGACCCATCTCTAATCAAGGCAGAACTTCAGCCCCTCGGCAGCCCCCAGTCTTCTTCCCTAGCCACCAGCAACACACTCATAGCTCCCAAGACTGACCTCCTCACTCCCTGCCTGGGGTCCTGGGATTCAGAAAACTGGTCTCCTGTGCCTGGTCCCAGTTTTCTGCCCAGAGAGCTGCACATCCCTTGGTCAAACCCCCATGCAAAGCAGGTCCCTTTCATTCAAGGACCTCTGGAGGGGCTACCTCTGGCTCTCCAGCCACACATGTGATGCCCCTCTCCATCTGCTACTTGGGCTGTGTGAACGCCATGGCCACTTTCTCTGAGAAACTTTCCTGGCTTCCCCTCCTGGTGTCTTCTCAAACAGGGCCTGGAGTTGACCCATGCCCCCACACAACTTTCACCTGTCATAGTCCTAGGACTTCTTTTCCACAGTGACTTCAATGGTCAGCACCGAGCAAGACACAAAACGGTTGCTAAGGAAAAGTCGGCCGTGTGCGTGAATGAATGGGGGACTCGGGATACTGTTTTAGAAGCTCCGGCTGAGCTGTCCTGGATCCTGAGACCCAGCAGATGTCCTGGGACCCTTCTGATCCGAGGCCAGGGTTTCTCAAAGAGCACGGCATCTGGATGAGCTTTAGGACTGAGCCTTTGGCAGACAACTGCCACCCAGAATGACCACGAGCCAGCGGGGCCCCTGCTTCTGTTTTCTCTACAGGTTTCAGCCCTGACCCACCCAAGGGCCCCGCCTGCTGTGATTTGGTACTGGTTTCTGGGCGTTCATGGGATCTAACCTGGAAAATAATAGAAAATATACATTACGTGTTGGCCTTTGTTCCCGGTTCCCGGCATAGAACTCCTAACACACTTAACATTTCTTGGGTGATGCTTTTGTTTTAATGAGGTGACACTTGGTGGGCTCCTGGATAGCTTCAGAATGGGCGCTGGTCAGAAAGATGAAGCTGTAGGTAGAAGCTCGGAACTTTCAGCTTCACCCCACCTCCTGAGAAGAGGTCGAGCTAATGCTTGATCATGCCTACATGATGATACCTTCACAAAATCCCAAAAGGATAGGGGTTGGAGAGTTTCTGGGTTGCTGGAGCTATGGGGAGAGTGACACTCCTGGAGGAGGCACGGAAGCGCTATGCCCCCCTTCCTCCGTGTCTGGATATTTATCTGTAGTCTCTATCCTTTTATGGCAACCCAGTAATGCGTTTCCAACTTCCATGAGCACAGAAGCTCCACACCCCTTCCTTCCACCTGGATGTTCGTCTGCATCCTTTATCCTTTTGTGACTAACCAGCAATGTAAGTGTTTCCGGCTTCTGTGAGCCATTCTAGCAAATTATCGAGACTACGTGGGAGGTGTAAGAACTTGTACCCAGTCAGAAGCACACGTGACAAACAACCTGTGACTCAGAGTTTGCATCTGAATTGTTGTGTGGGGGTGGGAGCAGTATTATGAGTTGCTCTTACCCTGTGAGGCAGATAGTTACCTTGCAAAGCATCCAGCTCCCACACACCAGGTGCCAGAAGCAAAGAGCAAGAGGGTGAGAGAAGTGTGTCCTATCCTCCACCTCCTAACACGTGGACAACTCAAAGGAGCTGGCAATTGCTCAGATTCCTCTTGCCTGGATGGGTAATGCAGAGTCCCACATGCCTATTTTCAAATGACAGCCACGACTGGTGTTCTCAGTGGTTAGAACACTGGCCTGTGCACTGTAGGGGCACGGGTTGATTCTTGGTCAAGAGCATGTATCCAAGTTGTAGGTTTGATACCTGGTCCTGGTCCGTACAGGGGTGGGAGGCAACCAATCAATATGCCCCTTATATCGATATTTCTCTTTTTCCTCTGCCTTCCACTCTCTAAAAATCAATGGAAAAAATTATCTTGGGTGAAGATTAAGAACAACAACAACAAAATACACACGCGCACGCACACAGACACACACACACACACACACACACACACACACACACACACACACACTCAAATGGAATCAGAGAAAGGCACGGCCAAGCCAGAGGGATTTGTTTTATTAGATTCCAGCAAGACTATACAATACTGTTTCATGCAGATTAAATGTGAGACTTTGCTACCCCGGGGAGGGAGCACTTTCATTGCCACCTCCTTCCTTGGTGTCAAGGGGTGAGTATCAAGGGGAACTCTCAATATACTCTGCATGGGGGACAGTTGGGATAGTGACTGGGGGTGGAGGTGAGACAGTGGACAGCTGTGGGCCCCTGGGACCTTGAGTCTTCACAGGTTCAGGGACCACAGGACCTGGGTCCTTGGCTGGTGGTGGCACTAGAGGATCTTGATCTTTCAGAGGCACCGAGATGATAGGAATGGGATTCTTCACGGGCTCAAGGACCACAGGACCCTGATTCTTTGGAGGTTCGGGGATCACAGTGCCGTGATCCTTGACTTTTTCTGGGGCCATAGAACCTTGATTCTTTACAACTGCAGAATCGTGACTCTTCAGAAGCTCTGGGACCACGCCACCTTGCCCCTTGACTGGCTCTGGAACCACCGAACCTTGGTTCTTTGCAGGCTCAGAGAGCACAGGACCTTCTTTTTTTACAGGTGCTATGAGCATGGCACTTCGATCCTTTAGGTGCTCTGGGACAGTAGGACCCTGATCCTTGACAGTTGCTGGAACCACAGGACCTGGATCCTTTGGAGTCTCCAGTACCATGGGACCTTGATCCTTAACTCTTGCTGGAGCCATTTGGTTACTTAGAGGCACCGGGAACAAGGGACCTTGGTCCTTGACTGGTGCTGAGATCCCAGAACCTGCATTCTTTAAAGGTCCAGGGACCGTGCGATCTTGATCCTTAACAGCTGTGGGGACCATGGACCCTTTATCCTTCAGAAGCCCTGGGACCCCGGGGGCTTGGTCCTTCAGAGGCTTTGGGACCGAAGGAGCTTGATCTTTTAGTGGCTCTGGGATGGCAGGAGCTTGATCCTTCAGAGGCTTTGGGATGGCAGGAGCTTGATCCTTCAGAGGCCTTGGGACCTCAGGAGCTTGATCCTTCAGAGGCCTTGAGACCTCAGGAGCTTGATCCTTCAGAGGCCCTGGGACCTCAGGAGCTCGATCCTTCAGAGACTTTGGGACAGCCGGGCCTTGGTCCTTCCGAGGCTCTTGGATCACAGGGCCTTGACCTTTCAGAGGCCCCAGGCCCAAGGGACCTTTATCCTTGTCTGGCTCTTTGGCTATCGGACCTCGATTCTTATGCGAGTCGCTGGTGGGACGGGCCTGGCTCCTGCAGAGAAGAGAGAAGTGGTCACTATGAGGGCCAGAGCTCAGGCCAGGGCCGGGGCAGAGCACAGATTGCCTGTGAGGCCTGGGCGGGGCAGCTCTTGCTGGAGAGCCGGGAGGAGAATCTGGCTTCCACGTTCTTGGCACAGAATGTGGGGTCAGGGGAGGGGCGGGTTCAGGAACCAGTCATTCAGTGTTGGCCAATTGATTATAACCTGCACGTGGCACAGAGGATGGCCCCCGGTGAGAAGGGCAGTGCTCTAATGGGACTCGGGGTCCTCCAGTCCTGCTGGGCTGCCCGTCCACCTCACGCTCCACCGAGGCCACTCTTCCTTCCTCCCAAATGGTTGGGCCCATCCTGGGAGCCCCTCTTAGCTGTCTACTCAGACGACCCTATGGGCCAGAGTGCTCTTTCCTTGTCCTCATGGCCTTCTTCTTCCCGAGCCCCTTGCTAAGGGCTAACTATGGGGCTGGGCAAGGGGACCTATGACATGCCAAGAAAGAGGGCAGTGGGAATGTCCCCCTACCCCCATCCCTTGCAAACAGAAAAGTATTTTTAAGACTGACATTGTTTAGAACAGCCAGCACATGGTGATGATAATAATAGGCAGACCAGCATTTCCTTAGGTTTATTTCTGCTTTTAAATGCTCTATGGACAACGTACCCCATCGTTGCCTGTGCCACTGCATCTCACTTCCAGCTCCTTCTCCTCTCCCTGGGCCCTTGTCCTCGTTTACTCCAAGGCTCCCTTGCAGTTTCCCTTGCAGCCAAGAATCCAAGCCTCACCAGAATCCTCCCAGGCTGTTTCATGGACCTCACTGCAGCTGAAGCTCTCCCAGCCCTTGACCCACCCACCTGGTGGAGAGCAGGTGCTATCACGGACACCAAAGGCAAACATTGCCCCACGCAGACATGCCGGTCTGGTTTAGAAGGCACCCTCCTTCCTTGCAGGCCAGGCTGAGGGTCATCACTCAGGAGCAGCCACTACGACCCAGTGTCACGAGCCCTTGTTCCTTCCACCCACAGTTCGTTCCACTTTCTACATCACTGCTCTCCACAGCAGCCCAGCAGCCCTGGGACGTGTGCAGGGAGGGTTTTATTGCCCTGACTTGTCAGAGGGAGAAACTGAGGTCCAGAGGGAATGTTCGAGGATCTGAGTGACCCCTCGTCTGCCTTCTGGAACCTACAGTGCCTGGCGCTCGGCAGGTGCTTGTTGTACTTTGTGGCCACAGAAGTCTTTAAGGTTAAAATCGCTTTAGCATTTTAATAGTTCCTATTGGCTTTTGGGACGATGGCTTAGTTGCTTATGAAAGCTGGCCCAATGAGACCTCTACTTGGGAACACTTTCTTAGCCCACTACGGTTTCATCTCCCTGAACCTTCAGTTTGTCATCTATTTCACTGGACATAATGATATTTATTTAGAAATTCATAATGATCAGAGATCATGCACCATGACATTACTATATGATATTACAATGACTCTTCTATTTACTTAGGAATAAAATGACACATGGTTGGACATTTAAAATTCGGAATGTCATCCTGACTCAGAAGCTTTTTACTGGTTCGAGTTTTGAGCTTCCCAGAGACTGCCATCTCTCAGCAGCAGAGGGACCCTGCAGCACAGGCAGCCTATCCATCTAGTCCCTGTTGCTGTCTCTAAGCATCAAAATGGATAGAGAGAAGCCGGGGTGGCTCCCTGGCTCAGCACAACGCAGAGCACAGCTGCTCTGGCCAGATGGACACAGCTGGCCACCCTCCATGAGACCTTCGTGCTTGTGGAGAGAGCCAGCAGGGCCACCAGAGGGATACAGAATCCAAGAGTGGTATTGCAATACTTCTAGTGCTTGGTGGATGGCCAGAGAGGAAAAGTAAAAACCCAATTCAGATTGAATCAACCAGGAAATTGATTAGATGAACCCTATCAGGTAATGAATGACCTGGGTGGGATCATCCTGGAGAGTGATCAAGCTGAGACAGGAGACAAAAAAGGGTGACAAGATGCCGAAACCAGTTTGGCTCAGTAGACAGAACGTCGGCCTGCAGACTGAAAGGTCCCAGGTTTGATTCTGGTCAAGGGCATGTACCTTGGTTGCAGGCACATCCCCAGTGCGGGGTGTGCAAGAGGCAGCTGATCGATGATTCTCTCTCATCGATGTTTCTAAATCTCTATCCCTCTCTCTTCCTCTCTGTAAAAAATCAATAATAATAATATAAAGGTGACGAGGGCTTGACTTGATCTTGGGCTTGGGTTGCAAAACCTATTCCATTGGCAGGGACTGGACTCAGCATGCCCTGAAGCCACGGAGATGAAAAGAGGGGCAGCTCCACAGGGGAGTCACCAAACCCATCTCCCTGCTGCAGCAGTGGCTCCCCTGTCACACCCAGATTGTAGTTAGTGAGTACTCTTGGCTAGTTGTAAACTAACTCAAAAGTTTCTTGGATATATAACCTTACATTGCTTTGCTTAGTAAACTTGTTTCTTTAGTGAATGTTTCTGGTCATGGGAAGGTTTAGGATCAATATTAGAAATGATAAATTAAATGAAACATATAGTTTTACCTTTTTTTGATACTATGTTTAGTAAGAATCAGTGTAGAGTTAGTATAAAAGTATTTGTAATATTTTAAATAATTTGGCATATCAGAATATGTAGCAGATTAATGTTGTGGTTCCAATATACTAGTAAGATATGCAATAGAATAATTTAGACTGGTGATCTTAAATGGAAAGATACAAGGTAATCCTATAAATTCTGTATACAGTGATGCAACTTTTATGACAATCCAATAATTTTCATATTTTAAGCTTAGTTTATTTAAAAATATTTGTAATTTAATTTAAATTATTCAGGGCAATTACGTTATAAAATCCCCCTTAAAATGTTTTGATTAAAATTTACTAGATTTTTAAATGTTACTTTGATCTATTAAGCATTCACTTTTATTTTTATTTTTACTATTTTTTAATTGATTTCAGAGAGGAAGGGAGAGAAGGATAGAAACATCAATGATGAGAGAGAGTCATTGGCTGGCTGCCTTCTGCATGCCCCTTACTGGGGGTTGAGCCTGCAACCTGGATGTGTGCCACGACCCAGAATCACACTGTGATCGCCTCGTTCATGGGTTAATGCTCAACCACTGAGCCACACCGACAGGGCAAGCATTCATTTTTATTTTTATTTTTTATTTTTTTAATATATTTTATTGATTTTTTTACAAAGAGGAAGGGAGAGAGATAGAGAGCTAGAAACGTCAATGAGAGAGAAACATCGACTGGCTGCCTCTTGCACACCCCCCACCGGGGATGTGCCCGCAACCAACATACATGCCCTTGACCGGAATCGAACCCAGGACCTTTCAGTCCACAGACCGACGCTCTACCACTGAGCCAAACCGGTTTTGGCCAAGCATTCATTTTTAAAACCACAGCAGCCTCAGTTGGTTTTCCTATGAACAAAACTGCCCTCAAGGACAACATAAACCACTCATTGATACTGTCTGGCCACTACTTGGTTCCACACTGCCCGTGAGTCTCCCAGCTAAGTGCCCCACCTCTCCCAGTAAGGCTGGCAGAAGCAGCACTCACAGTGCCCTCTGTGTGAAGGACACAAAGCTGCGCCCCAGGGGAGGGGAGGACTGGGCACATGGTTGGTCAGTGGAGAGGGGCTGGATTCAGGCCCACGCAGCCCATAGGCCAGTTGTCCTTGGGCATGGCTCAACCAGCACAAGCAAATCCGGCACCCTGAGCCACATGCACCCTGAGCCTCATGCACCCTGAGCCTCATGCACCCTGAGCCATATGCAAGTCTTCTCAAGGCAGCATATAGCACAGGCCCTTTCTCCTCCCAGCCTGTGTACCCTTTCGGAGACTAAAATGACCTGCTAGGCTTATCTCAGCTTCGGTGCTGCTTATTGCCTGAGAGGTCTTGGGCAATTAGGCCATTACAATAGGCCTCAGTTTCTCCATCTATAGATGGGGATAACAGTACAAATGTCAGGGACTGTTATCTGAAATCATAATTCTTGGTTATTTGTAAAGTGCTTTGGGGCATCGCATGAATAAGTCCAGTACTATAGCCTAACCAGTTTGGCTCAGTGGATAGTGTCGGCCTGCGAGCATGTACCTTGGTTGTGGGCACATCCCCAGTGGGAATGTTCAGGAGGCAGCTGATGGATGTTTTTCTCTCATTGATGTTTCTAACTCTCTATCCCTTTCCCTTCCCCTCTGTAAAAAATCAATAAAAAATATAAAAAGGTATAATAACTAGTAATAGATTATTAAATGCTCACATGCTGGACCCCCATGGCAGCCGTGGAGGAAGACAGGGCAGGTGATGGCCAGCCTTACCCTCCTTGCACTGTCCTCTGGCCACCAGGAGTGTATAAAATACTGTTTTATAAAAGACTGTTTTATACACTCCCAGTGTTTTCATTTCTTTGTGTCTGCTACCTGGATTGCTCTCTTTCATCAACTTCTCCCTGTCTGTCCTTGGTGTCTTGGCTCAGATTCCACTTCTTCACCAGATCTCCTGGATGCCTCTCTCCACATTGGCTTTGTCCATAGCTCCCTGACACAGCACCATTTTACAGCCTATCCCCACACTGAGAGGGTCCCCCATGACATGCCAGGTCTCCCCATTAGATCACAAGCTCCCTGAAGGCAGGGGCCATCCTCCTGGCCCGCAGCCCCCATGCCCAGCATTGTACCTGGAACAAAGAAGGTCAAATGGAAAAAGTCACAAATGACTGTTGCTGAGACCTGGTTCATCAGCTACCCCGTGGCCCCAGCCAGAAACCCAGAGTCACCCTCAGGACCTTCCTCCCCTCAAAACCTCCACTCAACTATCAAGAACCATCTGTTCCAGCTCCTAAACATGGATCTCTGGAATGGTCCCATTTCTTTCCCTCCCTCCCCCACCCTCACCAATAGTGCCATTATTTCTGTGGACTTTCTAACCAGTATCCCCTGCTCCTCATCCAATTCATGTTTCATACGGAA